TAAAGTGCTTTAAATGAATATGGTCCTATAGTTAGGAAGAATCTTACTGGATTTTCATGTAAAAGTCAGAGTAAGTGAAAGGACTTCCCATGCAGCAGTAGAATCATTTTCTGCTGCAATGACAACAGAACCACCGTAAGATGACAGTCTTTTAAACCTATAATTATCATTGGCTTGAACTGCTCCACCCAAACCTTTTATTGAGTTCTTTTATGATAACAAGAAATGCAAATGAAAACACGTTAAGAAATTAAAACCACTTTTGTCTCAAAGATGGACAAAAAATAAAAAGATTGATACTGGCGAGGATCTTATGAAATGGGCAGGTATAATCACTGCAGCATTTTTACAGGGTAACTTGACAATTTATAAAAAAATAAAGATCATTGAGCAATTCCACATCTAGGAATTTATCCTGCAGGGATAATCTCACAAATATGCAAAGATATACATAAATTTCCATTACTATAGTGCTGCAGTGAACATTCATGTACAAGCTTTTGTAGGAACAGACATTTAAATTTGATATATACACCTAGAAGTCGAATTGCTGGTCCATATTGTAACTGTTTAATCATTTGAGAAACAGCCAGGCTGTTTTCCAGCGTGGCTGTACCATTTTACATTGCCCCCAGCAATGTGCTGTGTCAGGTTTCTGATTTCTGTAGGGATGTTAGCACATTATTGTCTGTCTCTTGAGGCAGGTTCTTGCTATGTAGTTCAGGCTGGCCTCGAACTACAGGTGGGCACAACTGTGCCCAGTTTATTATCTTTCATTTTGAACATAGTCATCTAGTAGGAGTTAAGTAATATCTCATTGTGTTTTTTTTTTTTTTTTTTTTGGAGGGAGGAGTTTGTTTTGTTTGAAATAGGGTGTCACCATGTTGCCCAGGCTGGCATTGAACTCTTGGGATCAAGTGTTTGTCCTGCCCCCCAGCCAGCTGGGACTAGTAGACGGGCACCACTATGCCTGGCCTCGTAGTGGTTTTGATTTGTATTTCCATAATGATTAATGATACCAAGCATCTTCTCATATGCTTCTTGGACATTTTATATCTTTTTGGAGAAATACCTACCTAGATTCTTTGCCAGTTTTTAAATTGTGCTGTCTTTCATTGAATGTAATAGTTCAATAATTTATATATTTTAGGAATGAGACTTTTATCTGACTTTTGATTTACAAAAAGCACAAAAATTTTTATTTTAATCAGTTTATATTTTTTCCTTTTGTTGCCTGTATATTACGTATTTTTTTCTTCTCAAGACAAGATCTTTCTGTGTTGCCCAGGCTAGCTTGGAATTCCTGGGCTCAAGTGATCCTTTTGCCTCAGTTTTCCGAGTATCTGGGACTACAGGTGCATGCTCCTGCATACATATATATCTTTTTAAAAACCAGGGCCTCACCCGTGCTGATCAAGTACTCGGGCACTGGGCTACATCCATCCTCAGCCCTTTTTATTTTTTGAGACAGATTCTCAGTTGCCCAGGTTGATGTTGAACTTGTGATCCTCCTTCTGAGCCTCCTGAGTAGTTGAGATTACAGGTGTGTGCCACCATGCTCAGCTGTACCTATTAGATATCCTACCTAAGCCATTGCCTGGTCTAAGGTCACAGAATTTTATTTTTCTGTTTTTTTCTTTCTTTTTTTTTAAGGGAGGAAAGTTTATTTAGTTCATGGTTTGTAGAGGTTGCAGTCCATAATCAGCTGGCTCCAAGACAGAACGGCATGTGGCAGAGGGGCAATAGTTCATGACAGTGGAAAACAGCAAAAGCAACTATATGGGGGGGGGGGGAGAGATAGAGCTCTTCTGTTTTTTTCTAAGAACTTTTATTATTTTAGTGCTGATATTTAGATGTTCGATCCATCTTGAATAAATTTTTAAAGATACAACGTGAGTTAGAGGTCCAACTTTTTTCTTTGCATTTGGATATCCAGTGTCCCCTGACGATTTGTTGAATGTAACAAACCTTTTTTGCTTCTTTAATTTCAAAGGAGTGAAGTGAGAGAGTTGAGTGATAATTTTCTAGAATAGCAAAACTTGAGTTTTTCTTGGTAGCAGGAGACTTTGGGCAGAAGAGTTAAAATCAGGCGTTAACAAGGAATAGATTAGCAAGAATAGTTGAAGATAACAGGTAGAAGTCAGGTTCTCTTTGGTTAATAGGTTCTAGGAGTACTTATCTTACCAGGGTGTATTTAGTTTGAAGCTTTATTAGAATACTTATCAATCATGCATTGTGGTTATCTTTAAAAACCACATCCCTAGTAGTTTGCCTATAAAGTTCAAAAACCTGTCAGATTGTTGCCAGACAGAACAAGATAGTACAGTATGTTGACGTAACATACCAGGTTAGTTGTGTGGGGAGCTTCATCAGACTGGGAAAAATGAATTCTTAGTATATGTATCAATTGTATTCTTTACAACAGTAAAATTCTTTGATTCTCATTTCTGTTACTCCAAAGAATGTACTTAGGCAGTCTTGATGAATTTGCAAGAGACTGCCAAAGGGACAATTTTGGCAAAATAGGATAAATCATGGATTCATTTTAAGAAGTTTGCAGGGTTTGTTCATTCAGCAAATATTTAAGCATCTGCTATGTGCCAGGCTTGTAGGCTCCATGGCTGTAATAGTGAGTAGACACAGGCAGAAACTGAAGGGCGCCTGGAGAATGAGTGTCTGAGGAAGACAGCTTCCAGAATGAATGAATATTGTCAAACATCAATAAAGCAAAAAATACGATGAAAATTGGAAAATGCCATTTAATTTGGTGGCATGGAAGAGCAGTTGTGGTGGAGTGATAAGGGTCTAAAGCTAGATTAGAATGGGTTTGGAGATGAGTCTGAAAAAGTTGGAGTGAAGAGGGAGGAAAGTTCGGTAACTGGCAGCATAGAGAATTGTGGGAAAGAATTTCCTATTTTTATTGAGGGAAAGAGCAAGCCTAATTAAAAGCTGTAGGAAGAACTACTAAGAGAAGGAGGTTGATCAGATAAGAGAGAGAGGGGCTAGTCAGTGATACGTGGTTCCTGAGGTGGCAGGAGGGGATAGACTCAGAGGATTGGCCATAGGCAATGGAGAGAAATCTCTATCCATACTAGAATAATGGAACTAAAGTGAACTACAAGGAGCAGGTGGCTTTAGATGCCAGGGAGTTACACGGTTTCTCTGTGACGTAGCACACGTGTTATCTTCTGAGTGGAGAGGGTTCAGAGTAGAGAAAGAAATGAGCGTGAGGACCATTTGAAGTTGGTGTTCAGAATTTTTAGTGGCACATATCTGTCCTACTAGTGTCATGAGTATAAACTTGGAGACATTCATTTGGGATCATGTTTAAATTTAGGCTTTTAACAAGAAAATTGTTGAAGTGATGAACCATAGAATGACAGCTTAAGGAAAGGAAAAAAAAACCAGAGTTGATAAGATTGAAGGAGCCGGGCGTGGTGGCGCATGCCTGTAATCCCAGCACTCGGGAGGCTGAGGCAGGAGGATTGTTGCCAGTTTGAGGCCAGCCTGGACTATGAAGTGAGCTCAAGGCCAGCCTGAACTGCATAGTGAGACCCTGTCTCAAAAAGACAAAAATAAAATAAAATAAAGATTGAAGGGAAGAAATTTTTTTAAAAAAAGATGATAAGATTGAACAAGAGCATATGTAAAAGAGATACAGTTGAATTTGGGGGTCCTGTTTATTTAAGGATTGAACCCAGGCCCTCACACTGGGGGTGCCCTCTTAAAAATCAAGATATATATAGTATATATATAAACCTTTAAAATGAAAAAAAAAACCTTTAAAAATGAAGATATAATTCCATATAGTAAATTTCACTCTTTTACAATGTATGTTTCAGTCATTTCAGTCTTTAGTTGTGTAACAATCACATATTCAATTCCAGAACATTTTTGTCACCCCCCAAAAAAATTCTGAACTCACTGGGAGTCACTCCCCACCCACCCTTCACCCCATCCTTGGCAACCACTAATCTACTTTTGGTGTCTATTGATTTACCTGTTCTGTATATTTTATATAAGTGGAATCTTATGGCCTTTGATGTCTAGCTCCTTTCACTTAATGTAATGTTTTTAAGGTTCTATCCATGTTATATCTGTACTTCGTTCCTTTTTGTGGTGTAATAATATTCCATTTATGGATATACCACATTTTATGGTCTCTATCAATTGATGGACATTTAGGTTGTTACTTGTTTGGCTCTGAGTAATGCTGCTATGAGCATTTCTATAATAAGCTTTTATGTGGACATGATTTTATTTTTCATGGGTATATACCAAGAAGTAGCATTGGTAGATTGTATGGTAACTGTTTTAACATTTTGGTCATGTGCCAAGGTGTTTTTCATGGTGGTTGCACTATTTTTTATTCCCACCAGCAAGGTATGAGAGCTCTATCCTTACCAATACTTTATAACCACTTTAGTGGGTTCATCTGTGTGCACTTATAAAATTTATTTTTGTTTAATCAGGTGACATATGAACGTCTTACCTGTAAATATTATTAGCATTAGATAGATCAGGCTGAAGACCCTGTGACCTGTACCCAGTCAGTTTCTGTGCCTTATGTAGAAAGAATAGTTGCTTTTCATTTGTAAGGTATTTGTCTAGAACTTTTAGAAATTCTTAGTGTAAGCCAGGCACCATTGAGTGTTTCTGCAGACCCAGCTAATCACTTGAGCCAGATAGTTAAGACCTCATGGGGTGGGGGGATCACAAGAAAGAGATCCTCTATTTAGACAGCTTTCATTAACCCACCTGTTTTCATAGAAAAATTATATTGACATTAATTTTTTCCCTTTCCAACTTCTAACTGTAAATTGTGACATCTTCTAAAAATTACAATATTCGTTATTCTAAAAATCACATTAAACAAGCAGATCAACTAAACGCCTTTAAAAGTTTATTAGCCTCTATATTATGATTTTTTTTAATTACAGCTATTTGACTTCGTGTAATAAAATAATATTAGTAAAACTATTTTTTGGTCATGTCCTTAGTGCCTGGCTGTCTGGCTATGAAAACCCTGTGGTGTCTCGAATTAATATGAGGATACAAGATCTAACAGGACTAGATGTGTCCACAGCAGAAGAATTACAGGTAGGCCTCCAGTTATTTTCACACTTCTAGAGGTGCTTCTGGTGAGATTTCCTCACACTGAATAGGTAGTCCTTGACTTGCATTGTAGTTTGGGACTGTAAAAAGTGACCTGTAAGCTGAAACCATGCAAAAGAATTTTAATAATCAGTAGAAGAAATCGTGATAATTCTGTGACTGTTTACATTTTTTGTCAAAACATGAGCTGTCAAGAGCCAGGCATGGTGGTAGGTGCCTGTAATCCTAGCACTCAGAAGCTGAGGCAGGAACATTGAGTTCAAAGCCAGCCTGGGCTACACAGTGAGACTGTTGAATATAAAGGTACCAGCAAATGTAAAATGCATGACAGCACCATTGATTAAGTACACTAATTTTGTTTTTCATTCCCCAGGTTGTCTGCCTGTCAGGTGATAAAGTTGAATATTGATCTTTTAAAATAATTCTTTTGTGAACATTTATGTACAAGTTTTTTTTGTGTCAAACATTTAAGTTTCTTTAGGTATACACTCCTACAGTGGATTTGCTGGCTTATATAGTAACTCAGTGTTTAACATTTGAAGAGCTGCTGAGGTGGCTGTACCATTTTATAATCCCCACCAGCAGTACATAAGGGTTCCAGTTTCACTGCAATCTTGTAGACACTTGTTGTTGTCCAGTTCTTGTTTTTTTAGTATAACTATTCTAGTGAGATTGAAGTTTCTATCTCATTATGGTTTTCATTTGCATATTCCTGATGACTAAAGATACTGAGCATTTTATGTGCATATTGGTCATTTCTAGATCTTATTTGAAAAAGAAGTATTCAAAAAACATTTTCAAATTGTATTTTGTGTCTTTCTGTTAAGTTGTAAGTGTTCTTTATATATTCTTAGTGCTAGATCCTTGTTGGGTGTAAATGATTTGCAAATACATGCTACCATTGTGGGACTTGTCTTTTCACTCTCTTGATGGTACCCATTGGCACAAAACTTGTTAATTTTTTTCTAATCAGATTTTATTGGTACATTTTAGATATACATAGTGATCACACTCATATTATAGAGCACTGGTACTTTTTTCCCACATTCCACTACCCTCCCTTCAAACCCTCCTCCTCTCCCCATTTACAAAAGCTTTGTTTCCATGTTTTCCTTCTTTTTTCACTTTTTTTTTTACTTTTCCTTTCTTTCCTTTCCTCTTTTCCTTCCTTTTTCCCCACTCCATTTGAACATTTTCTTCCCATTTCACAGTATCTGTTACACACTTTGGTCCTTATTTATACTTTATTTCTCACACCGGAGAAACAATGCAGTATTTACAAAAGTGTGTCTGGTTTATTTCCATTTACCTAGGAACGTCCCAAGCTTATCCTTTATGGCAGAGTAGTACTCCATTGTATAAAAAAAAACAAACCACATCTGCCACATCCAGCACAGCTCATGAAACTCTGGAGGATAGTGGGGGATGAAGAAAGACAGGAATCAGTATACAAAGGCTGAGGTCAGGTGAAGCGCTCTTTCCTGATGGGAGAAAGGAGCTGTCTAACACCGCAGCACATTTATTTATATAATCAGCATATGAATAAGTTTATGGAGAGTTTAAGGGGAGGGTAGAATCTGGGACAGGAAGAAAATCTAACTAATCTATTGCAGAACAGCAAGTCTTGGTGGCTACATAGGAAACAAAGGAGAAAACTGTCTGTTACCAAGCAAAGGTCAAATCACTAAGGCAACAGCTCCCTGAGCCGTGTACGCTTTTCCTGGGGCCCTGCCAAACTCATGAGAGGTGGTGGCCTTGTCCTAGATACCCGAGGTATAGACAGTTTTGCTTCCAACACACACGAGTTGATGGATATTTGAACTGTTTCCAAAATTGGACTGTTACAAACTGTGCCACTGTAAACATGGGTGTGCATATATCACTGTGGTATGATGCTTTTAATTCTTCTGGGAAGATACCAAGAATAGCTGGGTCAAATGGAACTCTAGTCC